GTATACACGTTACACATAGGGAAATCACGAAAACGCACATGCAACCAGACTCTTTGCTGGGATTCGGACCCCAGACCGAACTACCAGAGCTCCGCGACTTTGTAGAGACATTAGGTTAATTGGAAACAGGAGAGATAAAAAATTAGCAATCGCCTTCACCGGGAATCGAACCACGGACCTCTGAAATACCGGCTCAGTGTGCTGACCACTACACCATGAAGGCACGCTAGGAAAGCGGAAGAAATACCTTACGTACTCCCCTTTTTAAAGGGTGACTGGGGTTTTAATCATAACCGTAGTAACTTTTGCATTTTTTTTTTCATTTAAATGCATACCGACATTACCTCTCTTCTTTGCAATAAATGTAAAACTGCCTAGTAAACTGTAATGCAAAGACAAAACGTATGCTATCAACTTTTACACTCAATGAATGGTTGGTATTACAATCTCCTTTCTGTACATAACACGTAAATATTTTCACTTGTTTTATGACAGCAGACAGCCATTGATATTAACCGGAAAGCGGAAGAAATACCTTACGTACTCCCCTTTTTAAAGGGTGACTGGGGTTTTAGGGGAACTAGTCGCCAAATCCTGGGTTCGGAGAATCATCGTCCGCAACACCTTTTAGTTCGAGCGCCACTTGTAGAGACATTATGCTAATTGGAAGCCGTATAAGGTATTTCTCCCATTTTCCTAGCGTCCTTCGTGTTGTGGTTCTGCACGCTGGGCCGGTATTCCAGAGGTCCGTGATTCGATTCCCGGCGAAGGCGGTTGCATATTTTTCATCTTTCCTGCTTCGAATTAACCTAATGACTCTACAAGTGGCGCCCAAACTAAAAAGGGTTGTGAATGATGATTCTTCGCACCCAGGATTTGGCGACTAGGTCCCATAAAACTCTAATCGCCCTTTAAAAAGGGAAGTATATAAGGTATTTCTCCCACTTCCCTAGCGTGCCTATGTGGTGTAACGGTAGCACGCTGGGCCGGTATTCCAAAGGTCCGTGGTTCAACTCTCGGCAAAGGCGATTGCATATTTTTCATCTTTTCTGCTTCCAATTGACCTAATGACTCTACAGCCGGAGAAATGAAAAATTAGCAATCGCCTTCGCCGGGAATCGAACCACGGACCTCTGAAATACCGGCTCAGTGTGCTGACCACTACACCACGAAGGCACGCTAGGAAAGTGAGAGAAATACCTTATAACTTTACCCGTCGGCTGCTGGCAGACGGCCAACGTTATTAATATATACGATTGTAATCCACTTTTCTCTCTTATGAGTTCAGCTGTTGGCTTAAAAGCATTAAAGTCACCTGCATAATAATATATTCCCTACTTACAAGTTACGTCATAGACAGTGGCCAGGATTCATCGATGTTCTTTATATCTTGATAATAGCTTTAGTTGATTACGTACTATAATGTTCATAGCTTGAAGCAGTGTCTCCCTTTTGAGTACATAAGTTTCAATTCCTTCTGTTTTGAGAAAACGAAATCGAACTAATTAAATTTCTGAAATGTGCTTAAATGCCCTCTCGTGTCTACTGTTTTCAGTGCAATCAGCGTCGGTTAATAGCGCAAGATATATAGGCAGTCGCCTACGGTGCAGATAAGTTGTACTTGCAAATGGCAATCAACTAGCGGTGCATTTCACTTTCAGTTACCAATCTGTTAAATTTATTTTGTGACATAACTAGATACTAATCGCCTAGGGTGGCGACGGTGTTGCAGTCAGATTGGAACGTCATTCCTTTCTGCAGTTTAGCCATTAGTCCCTGCTAAGACTGATATGTTCCATGGAAGTACTGATGTCTATTTGAGTCTACTGTTCTTAATGATTCATATTTTCAACGGACCTTTCCTGTTCTTAGTGTACCATTTTCAGTGTCTCTTCACAGGGAAAAGAGTTTGATTCAAAATCTCATCAAGAAGAACCTTCAATTCCCTAATCGAAACGAGCAAGGAAAACTGGAATTGGAACTAAAACAAATAATTGCGATTTCGATATCCAGAGAACGTGCACCTATATAAGTCGCCTTCGAGATGGGAATCGTATATAAACGCGAATACTTTAAGGGGGATGATAGCCAGATACATTTCAGATAAGTTTCTGAATTTATAACAGTTGACATTTTTTTTCATCATCGTAGCGTTAAATACAGCTGCATTGATTTAGAACTATTCTTATGTTCAATCGATAAATTCACTTGTTTTGTAATAGGGAGACCGGAAAGTAATGTCGTTTCTGCGCATGTCGACAACAACGTGCTAAGGGCAGAAGTGGAAGCAAATTCATGTCAAACACTCTTAACCAACCTTGGTCGACCATCCAAAAACATTTAAAGCAGAACGGAAAAATAAGCAAAGCAGGTGTTCGAGTCCCGCATAATCTGTCCAAAGAAAACTAAACCAACCGATCCATCACAGGCAACGTATTGCTTCAACGGCACCATACAGAACCATTTTTTGATCATTTGATTACTGGAGACGAAAAATGGGTCCTATATGATCATCCAAAACGCAAAAGGCAGTTTTAAAAGAGGGTTACAAGGAGGTTACATCCCAAAAAGGCGCTTCTGGGTGTTTGGTGGAGTATTCGCAGAATTGTTCATTTTGAATTGCTGAAACCTGGACAAACTTTTAATGCAGACCTTTATTGTGAACAATTGGATGGAGTGAATCAATCTTTAACCGAAAAATATCAATTGTCAACAAAAAGGCGTCATTCTGCAACACGACAATGCAAGACCGCACTGTGCAAGACGAACACTGGACAAAAATAATGAATTGGGGTGGAAGGTACTGCCATACTCACCCACCATACTCGGCCGATATCGCAGCATTGACTTTCCATTTATTCGGATCCCTACACCATTTTCTTAGTGGCAAAAAATTTGAAAATATGGGATGATGCCCAAGATGTTCTCTTCGATGTACTCAAAAACCAATTGATTTTTATCGGTCCGGGATTGAAAATCTGCACATTAGATGGCAAAAGGTTGTTGATAACGAGGGTGATAATATTATTGATTAAAAATAAAAACTTTTTTAAGATGTATTCGTTTAAACTTAATGTCAGAAAGCGACATTACTTTCCGGTCCCCCTATTATTAAGGATACAGAATGTTTTACTCTTTGTAAATTTTTCTGCATTATTTTGAAGCGATGGTTTGTTGTTTGTTTGCTGCCGGGTCCATATTTCATGGATTTGGTTTAATTAATTATGACGAAGCACACTAGAACTACCTGCCTTTAAGTGAAAAAAAATTTGCTGCATCATAGTTCCTTTTCTCCGTTACATCCAACAGATTTAGGCTGACAAATCATTGTTCGTTCGAAGTAAAAAAAAAACTTCGTCGCCTAACACAATGGATTTTCAAAATCTGGCAAGGAATGACAATTAACTATTTATTTCATTAGAGTGTAATTGCAAAATTATATAACAATGAACTAATTCGCTGAATAAAATCGGATTAAAATTTCGTTATTCGTCATTAGGAGAAATATCTATTTGAAAATCCTTGCATTAAAACTAGCAGTAAATCCTTACATTAAAACTAGTATTAGTATTAAAATCCTTAACTATATCCTTAACTAATAATAACTAGTATTAAAATCCTTACATTAAAACTAGTATTAAAATAACTGCTAGTTTATACTTGCAGTAATCCTTACTGCAAGTATAAACTAGCAGTTATTTTAATATACTTTACTACATTAGCTACTGTTACAAAATTCATTTTTTCATTCCTTTAAGATAACTAGATGTAACAAAGCCGTTTCTTATAAATAACACAGAAACGACGATGGGATGAAACCTTTTTGTTGAAAAAGACCGTTTCAAATCCAACTAGCTGAATCTCAGTAATTGGAGCATCTAGGATTACAACCCATTTCTGTAATCCCCAACTATAGGCTAGTCGTTAGTCATTTTATTTCTCAAGCCGAATATGTATTTATTCTGTTGTGCTGTGATTTATGTCACTTGTCTAACACATCAGAACAAGCCTCAGAATCAACATCAGAACAAGCCCCAAAAATTCCTCGTGGCATAGAGTGCAAGATTGCGCCTGTAATTGGCAAGAGCCTTGACCATTATACGAATGACAGTACGACTTCGCTCAGTTCCCCCCCAATTTGATGGAGAGCACCCCGGAGGGGCGGAGGGGATGGGCTTGAGGGTGTCCTCTTCCCCTACTACCAACCTCTAGAGAACTTTCAGCTCACCACATATTTAGAGTACTCCTATGCCGCACGGACATTATACATTTACGAACATCCATGTCTTCTCCGCGATTCGAACTTGGGCCCTTCCATACCGCCGTTGGCTCACCTAACCACTATACCGTCTGGGCGGCTTGCATCGTTATCTTATGCTTTTGAAAGAAACATTTATCGTAAGAAGAATGTGTCAGAATTGAGATAATCAAAAACCTTTTTATTCGAATTTGTATGAATCAATTTGATTTCATATTAGACGTAAAAGCTTAATTTGCTTTGCGCAGTTATTTATTGAAACAATGATTTTCATAAGAAAAACTAGAATTTATCTTCGATGTTACGTTTTATGTAGAAATGCTACTCATTTTATGTTTTGAGCAAAATAATTCAACAAACATTTTATAACCTAGAGAAAGTTGAGACACGTTTGAAAGAAAATAACTGTAAAGAATCCCTTCGGAAACGCAATGCAGCCTATTCAAACTGTAATAAATCAGCAGCCAAAACACAATAGAACATCACTCAGTCCCGATGTCAAACAGGCGAGAATTGTCTACCCGGTGATCGAAAGGATGGAAGAAAACTGAAGAAAAAAATTTCAATTTACTAATCTATATGCTTGACAGATATTTCCTCTTGAGAACGCCCATGACATGGAATTTCACCCACCCTTAAAAGAATCACCATTCCAGAACAAGTTTAAGACGAAGGAATGAGCAGAAAACAAAGAATGCATACATTATGTCGTTGTATATAAAGACAAAGACAATCATTGCGTTGCTCACATATATTAGAGCAGAAGGGACACACAAAGAAGCTCTACATCATGAAATTAGTGAAGCTTCTTATTACTTTTGTTGCCCTTTTTGGAAATACTTTCTGTGTTGATGAGGAATTTGAAACTGCTACTCAATCGTCCACAGCAACATTTTCAGATGACAGAGATATTACAAGATCACCAATTAGATTAACTTTTTATGAAAACCAAAATGAAAGTTCTCAGCAAGCTCAGAAAGGACTACCTCTTCACCCCTTAGCATATTCCAATGAGTGGAAGCCCATGCTAATGCCAATTCCGTTGTCATCATTCCGCGTTAAAACGAGTGATCCAAATTCTGAAAATGAGAGACCTGGTTTTCAGCCTACTCCCTTGCAACGGACAAGCAGTCAAATTAAAAATCTGACTGAAAGCATGGACCAGTACCCTGTACCTTCAGATGACATCAGAGTGCCATTAAGTACTGCATTTTTACCGTTTCCTCCTCTGTTCTTCCCTCGACCTATGCCGTCTGATCAGTTAAGTGGAATGAGTGATATTACAGCCCAAAACACACAGGAAATTAAAAATGAATCATCGTCTTTCCCTTGGCCTTTCTTCTATGGGCCAAACGCAGCTCGCCCTGATATTGCTTCTGATAACTTCCCATTCATACCCCGAAGTTTTCCGATTCCAGCATTCTTTTTACCAAACGTTCTTAGAAATAAAGACCAGGAAAATTCTTTAATAAAGTCAGAATTTCCAAGAGCTCCTTTCATTTATCCACCACCTCTATCAGTAGGTGATGATAGAAATTATCTTGTAAGCCAAGGTGTTAACCCTTTTGTTGGATCACCTTTCATGACCATAGTTCCAGCATCTTCTGAGGGCAAAAGTATCTTGCCAAAGGACAATATTCGAGAAGAAGGGTCCATTTCTTTACCTGAAGATGAATTATCCAGCGAAGACCCAATTTCTTCAGAACCTATTGCATCTGAATCAGTACCACCAGAAATGCCCATTCGTCCGCTACCAGTTTTTCCTTTAGGTGTTCTGCCACCTTCATATATGCCACCATTTGCTTTTCCACCTCAGGTTTTTTCTCCTCCTGTTCTACCCGAAGTTCCACCAGCTATACAGACATTTCCGGATACTCCATTACCTGCCGGTGAGTTATCTAAGCCAAACGCTTTCCCATTAGAAATTCTACCAGAAGAGACTTTACCACCAAGAGTTTTACCTGCTAACGTCGAACAGGCAGAAAATGTACCGCTGGAAATAGTTTCTCAGGATAAGAACGTAGAAGAGGATATTATAAATTCAGCAAGGATTCCTTACGAATTTGGATATGAGATGAATGATGGAAATGGCACAGACCAACATAGACAAGAAATTGCTGATGAAACTGGGGCTGTGAAAGGAAGTTACGGATACAAAGATCCACTGGGAGTTTACCGCCTTGTCAATTATTTCGCCGATCAGAATGGATTTAGAGCATTTATTCAAACCAATGAACCTGGAGTTGCTAATCCGGGAAGCGCTGATGTTGTTGTGATGGCTGAAGTACCGCCTCCTCGAGCTCTTGCAGAAGGATTTAAACAGCCTGAACTGATACCAGTGGAAATTCCAGACTCAGATTTAATAGCAGAAGGAAGCGTAACTAAATAATAGGTGTTCCCAAGAGTAAAATTTGAAATGTTTTAATGCTGAGTACGTTAATGATTTCAGTTTCGTGTTTTGTGATTTAATACAGACTCCTTCATTGTAATCAAAATAACAGAGGATTAGATTTCAAAATATTGCTCAAGAGTGTGACGTTACTGGAATTCGACATTCTGTAAATTATATTGAGGTAACATGTTCTATATAATTTTTTGTTACACTAAGAAAAACTTTACTAACGTTCTTTACTAATGAAATGAATTTTAAGTTTTGTTAATGAAGAAATCGTAAATGTTTATGTAAAAAAGCAAAATGCATATTTATGAATGCATTATGTTTACGAACTTTGATGAAAGTGTGGTAATTTTAAGTATAACACCAAGTATATACTATATATATTTTTTATATTATATAGAAAAGCGTGAAGTTTGTATAAATTGTATTTAATTAATTAAAGGAAACCCTTATATTATTCGCCCTATATATGCCTTACATATACATAGATAAATACATAAGCCTTATATATATATATATATATAAGTCATCATATGTAAGGTATATATATATATATGTATAATACTCATCTGCTGAATCAGAAAATAAAATTCTGATCCTTGTTAAAATAAATTATTAATGAGTATTATTTTAACTTCATTTATAAAATTAAATTATGCTTCAATCTAAAGGTGATTGAAATATTTATACATTAAATGGATTAAATCTACTTATTTAGTATTATAAAAAGCAATCCAGTATTGTTAAAAGTTAATGCAAATTTTGGACTCGAACAGCTTAAATTTTCTCAGTAAATATTATTTATGTTTGAATTTTACACAGACAACAAGCAGCTGTATTTAGGTAATATACGGAATTTCTATTTCCAACGGCACGTACCTCTACGTTATAATGAAATAATGTGCCAATAGATGTCAGCACAAGTAAAAAGAAAGGTAAGCTAAGTTTACATTTCTGATAAGAGATGGCAGCACTAGTCAAGTATTGGTATTGCTGAAAAGTGGAAGCAAGCATAGCGAATACCATGAAATAAAAAACGTGTGTGCTTCAAAATTAGTAAAATTAAAAACAAATTGTAAGAATTAAATGCCACTTTAATTTAATAAATAAACAAATTTTTAATAAATAGACAAATTTAATCTTCTGTCGGATTAAAATTGCATGGAAATTATACTAAGCACCATTTGTTTTTTCTCCTAGCAAAAATTAGATAATTGAGTATTTAATGTAGAAGAGGTTGTCATTTGCGGACTTTATATTTACGAATTTATTAGTAGCAGATCTATAAAAAACTATGATATCTTTGATAAGTTGTTTTCTGGGTGTATATAAAGTTTCATCATCTGTTTGCGGGCTACGTAATTGGATAAACATTCGGATATTTTAAGATGGGAATTTGTAATTTATAAAAATTGTGATCGTGTTTGTGTCATTGTAAAGTGTAACTGTGTTTTGTTTGTGTTATGAAGTTTATTTACTTTAAATTAGAGTAAAACTGATACTTCAAAGAGCATTTTTAATTGAATGATGTAAACAAAGTTATGCAAATGATAACAAGAAACATTATTGCAATGATTATAATTAAAACAAATAAAATATTCAAAATATCAAAGAGCTTTTTATTTTTTTCTTACGTTTAAAGGGAAACTTTGTGTTTACTTATTGATTTTAATGTTGAAGAGTTCTCAAATTAAGGGGTATTATGTAATTTGTACCCAATAAGTTTCTGAATTTTATTTGTTTTTAAATTGTTATAAAAAGTTATGGAATTTGTATTCTAAATTCTAAATAGTAGGTGTCTTCAAGAATAAAATTTGAAATGCTGAGTACACTAATCATTTTAGTAACGCGTTTTATGATTTAATACAAACTCCTTCACTGTAATCAAAACAGCAGAGGATAAAATTTCAAAATATTGCTCAAGAATGTGACGTTGTGGCCTTGGCTACTAATGTTTAAAATTAATTTATGATTAGGAAACAGCATGAGTTATAAACAAATAGCTAAGTTTATCGCATTTTATTTTCCAGCTATCGAAATACGAGGCTACTAGCAACGTTTGGAAACCAAAACCAAGCAATCATGAATCAGAACTAGTTGCCATTCAGCATAAAGAAATTTAAATATAAATATGAACTACTTGTTGCCATTCAGCATAAAAGAAATATAAATATGAATATTAAAAAACTATTAAAGTTAATTTTATAAAATAATTAAACACATTAACAAATGTAGGAAATAAAAAATAATTATTTCTCATGCAATAACTAGGCCACTACAACGTAACTGGAATTCAGTATTCTTTAAATTATATTGAGGTAACATGTTCTATATAATATTTTTGCTATACTAAGAAATACTTTGCTAATATTGAATATTTTTTAAAACAAAAGCACTATGCTTTTCAAGTAATTTACTGTAAGAAAGTTTAATTGCAGTCTGCAAAACTTTAGAATGATTAATTCTGTTTTTATTTTAATTTTTTCGGTTTTGAATCAAGTAGAGAATGTATTGCTACTTCTAAAAAATTGCTTTATGCATTTTTAAAGAAGTGATAAAATGAGAAAGGAAAATCATTGAAATATAAAATCTTGCTTTAATTATTATAAATAACTGTTTATTTAACATTAAAGCAGATGAGCATTCAGCAGATGAGTTACATAAAGCTACTAAGGTTAGTTTAAAATGACTAAGCCAAAGTATACACGGATCATCTGCCTAAGGATGGAGATGCCTTCAAAGGAAGCTTTGCACACGGGAAACAACCTTACTTTCGTGCTGTAAATGAGGGAACTCCAGAAAATGTTTATGCCTGCGTCACATGCGATGTTATATGCCAGTCTAGGTTTATATATATATATATATATATGTCTAGGTTTATATAACCTAAACCTATTGTCCAGTCTAGGTTTACTCTCGTCGAACAAACAGAAGACAGTTATAAACGGCACAAAACTCTGTTCTGCGTGAAATTACCCACCCTCGCTGGTAGTGCGAAACAATGTTATCCATGAATAGTTGAATATTTTATCGTCCAACTCTGAACATTCTATTACCACTTGGACAGAAAACTCCATGTTTAAATGGAAAATGTCTCCTCTGAAATCTGAATCTATAATTACAATAGTGTGATCAACAAAAAAAGACCTATGACAATTTTAAACCTCAGCATTGTGATGGGAAATCAAAAAGTATTATCCCTGAAAGTATTATATTGTATTTACATTAATATAGTATTTGTATTTATTATATCCATTGCTTAAAAAGGTTATTACTTACTGGCACTGGGTGATTAGTATTTATTAAACTCAAATGACGAAACAGTCCTAGTGGGACTCGGCCTGCCGTAACCTTTTTCTGCTTTCTTGACCTTTGGGCCCAGGAATGCATCAGCATATGCCCTGGGCAAGTGGTTAGCATGTCCCAGGTGCCCCGGTGTTTAGTTCTCAAGCGAGCTTCGCACCCGTTTTATCGACCCACTTAAGGAATGAAAGGCCGAGTAAACCTTGCCCAGTCCTGGGATCGAACCCCGGATCTGTGATGCAGCTGCGCGACTCGCTAGCCACTTCGCCACTGGGAGGTAACGTTCAGGCATCACACATGGCTACAGTCCTTACTAGACCCCCGGGCGTTGACTCAGGCGAAAGCCTGGGAAGTACTGGTTAGGATCTGTACCTAGGCAGACTGAACCACGGGGGTATTTAATTTGACTTCACAGGACTAGAACCCGAGTATTGTACTCGGGTTGGTTCAGGCTTGGCAGGGACCGTACTGGTACTGTCGTGTCTGTTCCTTCGGCTGTGGTGGAGCTATATCGGAGATCGTCGACTAAGTTCCCGGGGTTTGATCCCATTCAGTTCTCGCGGGGGGGACTGACAGAGTGGACAGTGCACCCACAAACAATGGAATTTTTGCCGATGGAGTGGTGCTTGGAGGCAAGGTGACAGAGTTTTTAATTTTCCAATGCTTTGTAAAAGCCAGGCGGGGACTGCGAAAGTTGCACCCGCGACGACGAGGTCCCACGGACGACGGATATTCCAAACTCTGTATGGGTCCTCTAGAATATGGACCTGTGTCGGAGGTCCTTCGTCTGGTATGTCAGTCCTTGCTAGACGGGACTTTTCTGAGAAACGAGATTCTAGTAGCACTGATTTAACGGGAGGCTTGCTAGAAAAATAGAGACCCCCGCCTGATACGAAGTCCCGCCTAGCTACGGAAACAATGTTGCGGCTAGGCGGGATTTTTTCAAACCTCACCGAAAATGTCTCGGCTGGACCTCAGTCCCGGGTAGAAACAACCCAATCAGACGTAAGGTCTGCTCCTGAAGCCTTACATGATCCCAATCTGAGCGATAATCGATTAGTGTTTGGCGTTCAAGTCTTTGTAGTAAGTGAAGATGGGAACCTGTCTACGTGGTGGGATTTTGCGGGTTCTGAGAATTGTCCCTTTCGACGTCAAGTCCCGCGTAGCCGAAACATAATGTGATTGGGACATGCACCAGTTATGCACCAGCTCTGCAGATTTCGTTTTCCCCTACCCTCAGTTTTAAAAAAAAAATATTTATAATTAATCATCACTTAAAATAATTGATTTAGGTCATTTACAGAATTTAATTCTTAACTTTCAATTTAATTCGATAAGGGGTAGGGTCTCGCACCCAGACATCCTTGCATTTCACACCGGTACACATGTGGAAAATGTCTATGCAGCTAGTTTGTTCTCAGATTTCAAGTCAGGTCGAGTTATTAGTTGTCAATGGTTTTAGTTACCCGGGTATGCGTGGTCCGAATGACAAAAATAGAAGCAATCAGGAAGCGCAAAAAAATTAATTTTCCTAACTAGTATAATTAATAATTTAATGGTACTCTTAACTTTGTATGAGAGAGTCATCTTATTAAATACATTAATTTTTGCATTGACTTAAATCTTAAGTTTAGGATTAATTAAAACAAAATGTTTGACAACACTGAATAATGTGAAATTTTACAGGAAGTAGCAGACTAGGTTTTAGTGAGCTAATAATTCAGCTTATTAAAGAACACAAAAATGAAAATTATATTTTTATTGGCAGTCATGTATTATTTTACTTATAATGTCTTGTAATAAATATACATATACATATATAATTTATTTTTCTAGTACGTGTTAAAAAAGTGCAGTTTCAAACTGTTGGCGAAAGAAATAAGGCTCACAAAACTTATCACCTTCATATGGTATTCTCGGTTTTTTTTTAACTCAAACGGATGTTAGACCCAAAAGGCTATTATTAAGTCTCAAAACAGCATTTTGCGTCGTTTCATTTTCTTCGTATTTTCACTTTTTAGACTGTTGCCACTAAATATCGCCATGTATTATATTTAAACAAACTAAATAATGAAGAATCTGAATGAATGCATGCATGTTTTTGCACTGTGAAAAAAAACAACGGTACCTAGAGGCATCAAATTTTGAATACCTTCCCAATCGAACTTGGGCACTTAGATGTTCGAATTTTGAATTTGTTTTATTATCAATTTCATATTTTGTAAAGAATTTATAAGTTTTCGATCAAGAAACACAGCGATTTCAAAGCGAGCGATAGCAACACTGTACAAAAAAAAAAAAAAAAAAAAAAAAAGTTTTTATCTACAGCGCGCAAGACTGTGTGTCGGAAATTCTAAAAATATACTATTTTGCTGTTTTTAAATATTTTGTGATATTGCTGTTGAATTAAATTTTACGTGGTTTGAGTGCGAATCACATGATATTTAATAAATAAAATAACACACAAAATGTTAAAACGCCCTTTTGGGCTTAATGTAAAATCTGAAAGCTTTCAGGTTTTTTTAGTCCAAAGGGGCTTTGTCCCTGAAGTACCATTGTTTTGGTTTTGCGACTTTGCATTGAATCACTATAAATGTCCGCTTTACTTTTGAAACTGTTGCCACCAAATGTTAGAGTCCTGCATTATATTTGAAGAAATTAAATAATGAAAAATCTGCATGAATGTATGTCTATATCTCGCATTGTGATAAAACAACGGTACATAGAGCCATCGAATTTTGAATGACGTAATTTTCCTACGAATATGGGCATGTGGAAGACCAAATTTCAAATTTGGAATTTGTTTTATTATCGATTTAATATTTTGTAAACCTTTAACGAATTCTTGAGTAACAAACTCAACGATTTGAGAGCGAGCAACAGCAAAAAATCTACCGAAAAAAAAAAAAAAAAAAAAAAAGAAGCAAACAATTTTTTTTTTTTTCTCCATCGCGCGGAACTGTGTATCGGAAATTCTAATAATAGGCTCATTTTAAAATTATTTTGTGCGAAGAACATGATATTTAATAAATAAAGGTAACACACAAAACGTTAAAAAACGCCCCTTTGGACGAAATTTAAAATCTGTAACCTTTCAGACTGTTTTTCTTTTAATTTTTTTTTTATTTGCAAGCAAAGTTTAACATTGAGTATTTAGCATATCGTTATTACCTCCTAAATTTAATTTTTGAGGACAAACGTAGATAGCCTGACTCCGTCAAGGCAGATATTCTTAACATACATATTCTCATATTTCAATCATCCGAATGGTCTTAAATCCCTACACAACGGTTTTTTTCCTCCTAAATATTTAAGGCAAAAATTCACTGCAAAATTAGTTTACATAAGCAAAACTTAAAACATATAAGATAAGCAAACACGAAAATCAAGAACTTCTTTTATAAATTTTACCTTTTATTTTAAAATGAAAATAACACATCTATATCCTGTTTCTTTAATTCTAACTAATGTTTAGCCGTGTTTTGCGGATACCGCTTCATTTAAAAAATTAATTTACTAATTAAAAGTCATATGTCCATCCAGCTCTCAAACAGTCGGTTAATGCTATTGTGTCAATTACGTTTGCTCATTCTGCATCTGTCAGATATCTAAAACATTTTTATTTTTACATTGAAAATAACATCAATCCTCTTAGCATGTTATATTCAGCCTAGTTTCTAATTTATTATTCGCAAAATATTATTACTAACTTCTGTCCATTTTTAACACTATTTATTTTAAGCATTTTTTTTTTTTTTTCTTTTTTATTCGGGATACTGCAATATTTCGATACATAGTATTGTCTTTCGAAAACTTCTTTAAATTCACTGAAACCGTACTGGAATAGGATTATCAATAATTCGCAATCGCATTTAACGTACTAGTGGAAAAAAGAGCTTCATGTCTGTCATTTTGAAAGCAAAGGTAAAAAATAGTACATTAAACAAAAGACACAAAGAATGATGCTAACTGAAAGCTGCGACTTTTGCGTCGAAGATATAAATGGACTGTGAACGCAGAGGTAACATCAAGTGTCTGCAGCGGAATGTCGTCAAGTTCTTAAACGCAAAACGATTATATTTGCAAACAACACAATTCATAAGCAGAAAAACTCAAACTGTGTTCCCAATAAAACTATAAAATGTTTTAGATTTCTTATGCGGTATGAAGCTATAAATTATTTTCTTCCTCCAGTATGTCTTCGTTGTGTAACGGTTAACACGCTCGGCACGTATTGGAGAGACCCAGGCTCGAGTCACGGCGAGAGCACTGCATATTTTTCATGCCTCCTGCTTCAGAAAAATTCTATTGTCTCTAGAGTGACTCTCTAATTAAAAAGTAACGGTGGATAATGATTCTTCACCACCAGGAATTGGTGATTAGGACACCTAAGTTCCATTCGCCCTTTAAAAGGGGAAGTATGTAAGATATTTTCTCCCTCCTTTCCGCATACTTTCGTGTTGTAACGGTAGCACACTCAACGCGTATTCGAGAGGTCCAGGTTCGAGTCCTGGCGAGGACATTATTTATTCTTCATGTGTCATGCTTCAAAAAATCCTAATGACACTAGATGGCACCCCTCCGAACTAAAAACAATTGCGGTGGATGATGATTCTTCACCACTAGGATTTGGAGATTGGGTCACCTAAACCCCAGTAGTCCTTTAACTCTTTCGCATCGAAGTCGCCCCAAACGCCCGAATATTCAGACATCGGCTGGACGTCCGAAACGCCTGAATAATTTCCTACCCAGTGCTTTCCCCCATCACGTTACTGCATTACTCATTGCTTTCAGGTGTTGTTAAATCACATGTCAATCATTCTTTTGAAGATACTAAAAGTAGCTTCCTTGTTTCCTTTGTTCCTTCCTTTCCTTTCCTTTGGTTACTGTCAGTGTTTAGCTTTTGATGCCCGAAGTTGCAATCCCGTCCCAAGGGGGAACTTCACACAGTGTCAAAGCGTCGAAGAAAGAAGTTCTCGCTTTACTTAAGTAATGCTATTGTTAGCGCTGTAGTATTCATCTTGTCATGGGGGAAGGAAAAGCATTCCAGGAGAAATTCTTAGATACGGGCGTTTTCGATGTTTGGGGAATTGAGATTTTTCCCTCTCAGGATGCGAAAGAGTTAACAGGGGGAGTATATAATGCATTTTCTCCATTCTTCAATATGGATTCGTGGTGTAACGGCTAGCAAACTCGGCGCGTATTCGAGAAATCCAGGTTCGAGTCCTGGCGAGGACAATGCACATTCTTCACGTCTCCTGCTTCAAAAAATCCTAATGACTCTTCAAAGTACCTTAGGAACCGTATTCCAGTATAAAGATACCAGTATCTTGACACAAAATGATATTATTCAGAAAGGTAGGTAACTCTGCATAAATGTACGTGCATCTTTATGAAGGTCGGGTTTATAACTTCCTTTAGAAAGCAGCCTTCATGAAGATGCAGCCACGTTTATGCTGAAGCACCCTATGTAAACAGGGTTTTATTCTGCTATTGTAATTCAGGAAGGCAAATGGAAATTCTACTTGCACAGCCAAAATGATGTTCTCACCTTTATGAAAATTGCCTTTTTCAAAGTTAGCAATAGATTTGTTATGGCTGTCAACAACTTTATATGGTTCCTCTTCTTTCGAATAACGGTGGGCGGCTTGGACAAGATTACCACCAGCTTTAAGGATAAGGCACCTTTGTGGAAACTTCACGCCTAAAGCATAGATAGCGTAAACGTAGCCTCATATGTATTAGGAAAAAAAGTTTTTAAAATCATTTTATTCAGATATCCTTTTTATAGCGAAGAGCTACGAGATCGGAAGCACAATACCTCAAGCCATGTTGCCGAGCATATCTTATCTATCAACATCCATTCTAAAAAAGTAAACATAACGTAAGAATAGAGAGGAAATTGGAGACTCACTTAAGAACCGGTAGGTTCCGCTGAATCCGGTGCTGTTTGTTCTCCTCCAATCAGTATGGAACTCGAAAATAAGTGTTGGACCGGAAGAGTAATGTGTCTGTTCAATGTCCATTATCTTACCACATAATATGGAATTATATGGAGTCTTCTCATTCACTGACGGCTCGTCCAGGTGAAGGAAAAGCTTGACGAAATCACCAAATACACATCTGAAAAGAAAGATTAAAATGTATAGTAAGAGTAATACATTAATTGTGATAAACAGGGACAGGGAAAAGTGGACGAGAACTTCGTCAGTGACTTTAACAGGTGTTGCTCCGCCGCACTACTGTACCCCGCTGGGCTTTTAGTTGGCCCGCATTGGATGCTAGCCTACCAAAACATTTACATAGTAATTTTACATTAATACTAGACTTACGTACTGAATATACATTTAATTGTGATAAACAACAGAACTCTTCCTAACAGCCTTATTATAATAAGCAGTCTCAGCGTTACGGCCTTAGTCTCAGTTACGCTTAGTCTCAGTTACCGTCGGAAAATTCCGTATAGAAGGCTGCCTTCTATATTCATTATACATGAAAATTTCAGCAAGTTTTTAACGTATCTGATTTCGGTTTGAATGCATATTGGAAGAAAGGAATCAGGGTACAAAATGAGAGAGTCTTAGTTTAATTAAAATCAAAAAATACTACTTATTATGAATTTTGAGAACTTTGACATTTAGGGCTAAACTCGTGAAAACAGTGAAACTCGAGACACGAGATAATTTTTCCAGCATGAGCTTCTGTTATGTATTAATCGTTCTTTTTTTTTTTTTTTTTTTTTTTTTTTAACTTAAGTTTTTTTGCTTTTTTCAGTTTTTGATTTGTAATTGAAGTTCTATTTTTTTTTTTTTTCTTTTTTTTTTTTTTTTGCTGTTTAAAGTTGGTTTAAATTGTAAATTTGTAATCTTAATTTTTGGTTAGGTTGCTTTAAAGTTCCGAGTTGAAGTTGTTTAATTTTAATTTGAGTTTAAGGACTTAAGACTTTTTGTTTTTGTTCTAGTTGTTTTGACCCTTAAGGTTGTTTAACTTTTAAAATTAATTTTTTTAATTTTAAAACTTTGCTGTTGCACTTTTGTGTGTTCATTTTTTTTTCCTTAACTTTGAGTAATTGAATTTGTACCCCACTTTCTTTTAACGTTAAGCGAATACATACTTTCTGACTGGCGGTAGAAGAAAAATAATTTGATTCTATTTGTATTTCTTTTGGATAAATTGTGTTTAGTCTCAATTGGTGGCTGAGGAAACAATTATTACAGTGCTGACATTTTTATTATGAATTATAATGTTGTGTAATTAGTAGCTTCATTTTTTTTTAATTTCCCAAAGTCATTTTGTATTAACTTAGTTCAGAGATTTTCGCCCCTTGCCCTCTTTCCTTCAGCGGAAAATTCTTATCAGCAATTGTACTGCACCCCAAAATTCCTTTCTACTAAGCGTTCCACCATGTGTGGGGGGCGAAGTGCTTGATAGTTTTACCATGTGGTTTTCACGAAAAGAGGACCCTGTTTTGTTGGACCAGGCTAGCAGGGTGATGTTCTACAGAGCATACTTATGGTGGGGGAAAATATACGTTGAGACAGAAGATCTGCATTATCGACTGGGACCCTGGAGCGAGGCTAGTTTCTTCTCCCCCTGTTTCCGCCTGCAGTTGTGATGACACATTGGTGTGGCCTTGGAAGTTGAACGATGGAATGGCGAGAAACGGCTCCTTTTGGTAGTCGGGAAACCCCTCCCCGTGAAGATCCAGAGTGTGGGTTGCCTTTTTTGGGCTTCCTGCTAGTCAACATCTACGCCAAGTTTTCAAAAAACGCGCCAGCTACTAAAACGGCTGCGCAGTGTTTTTTCGGGAGACGGGGACAGTGACGGAGACGACAGAAGAGAGACGGAAAAAAGAAATTTCAGGAGAACATAAAAGATGTCAACTTGGGCGAGCAGCTCGGAGGTGAGCCTCATTGTAGACGTAGCAACGTAAATTAACCAGCACCGAAGAGAGGCTGCAACATCTATATTTTCATCCTAAAATTTACGCTGTCTTGATGGCCTGTGGAGGGAAGACCTGTGACTTACACACACAGTTACCTACCTCATAACCCAGAATGAACTTCTGCTCTAGTTGTTTCACAGATATGGTGCACATTTGTAATTATTAAGTATGAATTTATGTTGTTTTATATAACACTTCTACAGCAAGTTTCTCCTATCTAGAAACAAACTTATATTTTGAAATCGAAGCTAATTTTAATACTCATCAAAGAAAAGTATAGATAATAAAAAAAGAAAACACCTTGGTAGGGAAAAGTGTAAGTTTAACATTACTTACTTCTGCAAGGAAATTTACTTCTTTACTGGTTACAAAAACGCACTTTAAACTAACTTTAATATTTTTATTTATTTCTAAAAAATAGAAATAAAAGAAAATAAGGAACGGAAATCGCTACTTTTCTCCCATCCAAAGGTTTCCCTGTCTTCCTTTTCTACACCAGATAATTCTTGAAGAATCCGAACAAAATCAGCTGGTTGCACATATATTTTTGCCATCTAAACAGATATAAAATTTGCAGAGCCAAATGTATTCAAATTAAAATAATACACGGGAGTTAATAACACAAAATATTTGAGAAAAAAATATTTTCCGAATTTTAAAACACGACCACGCGCGTGTCGTAACTTTTATGAAAAAAGTTGCCACGTAGCACAAAAGCCCAGTTAAAAAAAAAAAGTCAAATGACTTCCTGTTGGCACATTCCATGATGTGAGGAAGGGTAGAAAGGAGAAATAGAAATGACCTTCAGACGTCTCAGCTTCGATATGCGACAAATGTACATTAAAAACTGAATTTGTCGTAAATTTTGCGCATGCGCGCGTGCTGGATGGTTGAAACTAAATAAGTCCAGAATGAGAAATTTATGCTTACAACTCAGCCAACCACTTCTGGCAAGATAAATAAAATACAGTAAGTCAAAAGTAATATTTAAATTCAAATAAACTAGTAACCAAAAGCTACACAGAACAATTAACGCAAAGTTGGCTCAAAAACCTAATCTACGTGGATATGAACTATCGGCAATTATAATGCAAGGCCGGAAACTACAAATCTTACCTTATCTAGCAATCCTAATAGCGTGGCCTGGAAAGGCAGAACACGCTTTGTCTTACCATCCAAAATCCTAACCTTAAATGAACACAAAATAATTCGTATTCCGGAGGCTAAACGGAAAGGAAAAGTGACAGTAAGGATTCAAAACATAAAATAGCACATTAAGGAGAATAAAGGAACCTCGCAATACTTAATTAGAAATGCTTTTTTCCCATCCTCGGAGACAACGTTGAAGTATCCTTTAAAGAATTTTATTGTTTTATGAAAAAATAGAAAAAAGCAAGATATTTTATTGACAGATCGCATTAAAAATATAAACTAACAAAAATTATAAGAAAGGAGGAAGAATAATAGAAAATGATCTTTTTGACTTGATCTTAAATGCTTGTCATCATACATTTCGAGGGTACAAATAAAAGGATAATAGCTTTAGACACATAAGCGTTTTAAAATAAATCCATTCAATAAGAAAAAAAGGTCTACACTGAAGATTACAACACCCTGGGGAATGTTAACAACCAATTTTAAAGAAATAGTTATCCTATTCTTTGTTAATTGCTGAATTTTTCGTACTCGACATTGCGTTTAAATTCCTTAGGCAGTAAATCCGAATTACAATTTTAAAATAGCTTCATTCAGCCTGGAAAGATCAACTTCTTTTCTCGAGCTCCTTACATAAAAACTTAAGCAAGTTTTTTCTACGCGACTGAAGATAATTTGTATAGCCCTCGATTGATGATAATTCTATTCCAAGCATTTCTGCCCCCCCCAAGCTTATTCGAAATAATGACTGTTTTAAGATGTGAAGAATTTTAAAATGTTTCTGAAGTTCTCAGTTTTGTATTGGTTCCATTGTTGGTTAAAGCTCGAAATTCCAAAAATGTTAAAGAGGGTCAACGTTAAGTTACATGCTATTCTTTTTTATTCGATTAAATGTATCGATTAAATTTTGAACTGGAGACTGTTAAATGACATTAATTTTTATAAACAATGACTGTTTTTTAAAGTCAGGCATTTGTAATAAATAGTTGGAAGAGTTGTTCCTATTTCGATGCACCTTACGAGTTGATACTGGGAGTGCTACGAAATGCCCATTTCCTGACTAATGGTCCGTACGGTTTTGAAAGGCTTACCTCACAAGATGCCTCTTCTTTGGCATTATTCATGTGAGGGCGTTGAGACCCTGAAGGCCGTTCAGTATGACCCTCGGCAATCCATTGATTCCATATTCGCATGACAGTGGCTGGACATCAACCATTGCGACCGGCGATATCACTGAACGATAATCTACACTTTCGATCTTGTCTATATTGAATTTTGAAACGTGCTGGTAAGCATTCCCTCATCTTATTCGAGGCATAGCACAAAATTCTGAGCAAATTCCAACCTTATGAAGCACTTCTCGAATGAGAAATCAACTACACAACTTTACTTTTATGCAGTGCTTCAGATGTCATGTCTCCTTCTTGCGTCGTTTAAATGCACTGAAATATTCACCATTTGCATTTCCCAACTTCCTCTTCCTTACATTCTCAGATCATTCCTTCTTGGTGTTCCAATTTTAATGACCAGCGGTGTATTACACGATAATCATTGCTACCAAACGAAATACAAACTAATGCATTAGTTCGACTGACGTTTAATCAAATGTAAAACAATCAGTCATACAAAGGCGAGATAGATCATGCCAGGATCAGTACAGTTAGCAACTCTTGAAACTTCTTCAGCGAACTGCCCTTCCCAACCACTTGAGGGTCCGTCAGATAAAGGTACAGACACTTTAGCAGGTAGTAACTGCTTGCTGGTTCCAAAGTTGAAAAGCATTATCTTTACAGTATGCAGTGTGATGTTTGCTTAACATATTCTGGTCTCTTATGACTTTAATAAGTGACGTATGATTGTAATTTGTGTCGTATATGATAATGGACCAAAATGGCGGTTGACGAACCTAAAGGATGTCATATAGCGCATGAAATTGGCTATGCTGGAGATCGTTCGCAAGAAAATACAACGACACGCGCAGAATCCAAGCGGACACATTTAGCAGTGTACTTCAAGCAAGCACTCACCGTCGTGTTATGTGTCCGACAGTTACTGGCCACTACTCTTATTTTTAAAGCATCTATTATTTAACGGATATATATCTCCTAACGGCGAGTTCCAATTATTAACGAAACTCTGATGTAGCCTCGAATTTCGTCCGAGATATATTTCTCATTCAATTAGTTCAGTTCTCACTTCACGGACAAGGCAAAAATATGTAAACACTCTTAATGAAAGCGTCTTAATGAAAAGTTGCAAAATATAGAGAAACATAAAACAAAAATCACAGTTAAAAACAGCTAAAAAACAATTTCTGCAATAAAAATTAGTTTGTATGCAAAAACAAGCAATTCAGCCAGTAGCTAGGAAGACACAATTTTCCGTGCAAAAAACTGAAAGTTTACGTTTGGTTTCACTTGGCAAAAAGACACTGAAGTTGGTGCAAAAACCGATTTAATTCGCTGTTGTCCAAGCAGCTTCACATGTAAACAAATAGCGGCTTCTTTAGGCTTAGTACCACTTCAACAAATTTTAAATTGTTGGCAATTCTACAAATGTCGCATGAAGATTAATTAAAGGCATAATAACCTTAATCGGAAGATAAGAACAATATAATTCAATCACATTTAAAGCAAAAAATGCACGCTCACCGAACCGGGTAACAGAGTGATATATATGTCATGTTTTAAAACTGAACCAACAGCTTCTTTAGATGCATCTACAAATACATGACAACTAATTTTAGTCGACAGGATAATTCACAACAGATCATCTTTCTGTAGATAAGATATTTATTCAATTATAATTAAATATTATAAATATATATGCACATTGGTTTTTTAAAAGAAATGCAGTAGGCATCTGAGAAGCCAAGCAGCACGTTTTTCGCAGAGCAGCAGTTAGAGAAGGAAAAAATGACGTAATTAACTCGCCAGCGGTATTTATACCAAAGTAGATGCAATTCTAGAAATAAGCTATGATTGGGTAACTTTAGTGTTGGTTACCCTTTTAAAGTTTGTTATATAACATAGAAAGATCTCGAATTTCGGAAAAGAGATGAATTTAGGGGAGAACACCAAATTTAGAATAGTTAATTTTGAGGTCGCCAATCATTCCCAAAACGGCAATCATATTTTGTTATATGTTACATATATATATTTTGATGCGGACGATTACAACCAAAAAGGAGGTACACAACTACGTGTCATAGCAGTACCAAATTCAAAATTTCAACGTTCTGAGGCTACTCTTTTTTGAATTGTGTTCCTTATTACTTCACTTCGTACAAAGAAGTAATAAGGAACATATTTTTCACAACAATTTTATGTAGGAAATAGTCCATTATGTTTATTTTATGGATCATTTTAACAATCCTTAAAACTCCAAAATTTCAAGGCTTTTCTGTTCCAGCATACAAGTCTACTTTTGCGTATTATGGATTTTAGCTTTTTCCTGGGAACTAGGATATATAAGTCCCACGAGTTCTCTCTTTTAAACGAGGCTTAACGAATTTTGGTCCCCTAGTGGAGATTTAAATTTGTTGCTTATATGGATTAGGAATGGGCAGAACTTTGTTATCTTGTTTCCAGGTTTCCGCCTGCTTGAATTCTTAACTAAATACCTCCAGTATACAAAATGGAACCTCTATAGCCCAGGGAAGAAGATTTAGTCATGCATTAGTAAGACTTTAAAATTCAAATTTATATAAGTTTCCAGTAGATTTATTTAGCTAGCAGATTTGTACATTTAGTTTGATTTATTAGCTATTATTTATGTAAACAGTGAAAAGTCCATAATCCGGAATGATCTATAATCCGGACCTCAAAGCTACAAACTTTCTGCGAATGTGCATAATACCTTTACGCCTGCGCATATGCATTTACGCATGTGCGTTTAATGTATAACGAACGGTATAAGCTAAGCTAAAATTATCTAATTATCTATTTCAGTTAATGCAGCAGATTGCCTTAATCTTCGAATTGGATCCGGCTTATTATTTTTTGCAAACTGTTAGAACAATTTTATAAAAGTAAGCTTGAACTTTCGATTATGTCAAAAAGAATTTCCGATGCTGGATAGCTGCCAAAGGATCTACAAAGCGAAAGCATGTTTCAATGTCCATCAAACGCTGCAAAAACTGGATAAAGGCATATCCTTTGTTTCTCTAACCATTCCGAAATCTGTTTCTCAAATTCATGCTGCTCTTGCGGGGGTGAGGGGGAAACGTCGTGGCGCGTAATGAGCTGGAAATTGACCTGTCAGCACTATCCTTATCTTCAGGGTAGATTTTTTTATTTTATTCGCTTATAATTCTCTTACTAAATGTAGTATTTCATCTCGATGTACTCCGCCTTTGATATAATTTAAATCAAATTCCTCGTCATTATAAATATCACGAATACACATCAAATAGTTTTCTGGTTGCAATTTTCTAATTTCGACTATGCGTAATGTATGCTTTACGCATGCGTGCATTGAAAGAAATGTTTAATAAAGTAAACAAATAAATATTAAGCCTTTTTTTTTTGTAAATTTTGATACCCTTTAGATCATAATTGCTCTTTATTTCATAAATTACGGTTTCATATTTTTAATTTTATAATTTCTGCATGCCATCTTACCAGATTTAAACTGATGATCTATAATCCGGAAAAACCGATAATCCGGAATCCTCGAAGTCCCGACGAGTCCGGATTAAAGACTTTTGACTGTACTTGATTTATTAACTTTTGAGATACTACTGTGTTTCAGCATCATAGTACTTCAAAGCGTCATTAACATTTTTGATTTAGTAACAAAATCATATTCATAAACATAGGCATGAATCTATTGTCGATCATAATATTTTTCATTTATTTCTGAAACTAAAATTACTTACTCTAGGTTCGTTTTTTGCAGATCAAACTCGTCGAAACTGATCTCGACCATTTCGTCTTCCCCTCCAGTGAAAGTATAAAGAAGACAATCAATGTTGTCCTCGTACGGCACGGGCCAGTTAGGGGACGTGAAAATGCCAAACTCCTTGGAGTATGTGTTGTCAAACACGACGCACTCGCAACCTGAAAACAAACAATGGAAAGAATGCTGTCAACATATTGTCACCAAAAAGCAATGAAGCGTTACATAAATTAAAAATACATTTATTAAATTCCAGAAAAAAATTTTAAAATCTTTACATATGTAGAGAGATATAAATACAATATTTAATATATTGTTACATAATTAAGACACAATAACACGCGAACAAATACTAATTTAGAAGTCAAACAACAATGGTGGTTCGGTAAAACCATCGAAACTAGTCCTCTGAAAATTTGAAAATATATCGCTGATTTTTGTTGTCTAACTTCTGAATTAATATTGTTACATTTCTATGATTATTTGATTTTTATTAATTATGAGTTTCAATTTCTGGTCTTTGTGAAATATTACTAGTTCTAATTTCTTACTTTATATCTTTAATGATAATTTTTCTGCAGCTTAAAGCGCGAAAATAACTAAACAAGTTTGTGTTTTGTTCTTAAAAGAATTGTTTTGCAATCATGGAATACAATGAGAAGATATTAGCGCTTATACTATTTTAGTAGTTTTACAAATTTTAGAACTAGAAATTACATCACAAAGACAAGGGTTAAAGTTTTCTTCCGTAAACTTTACTATAATTTAGGCTAGCAACCTAATTACTTTTAAAATATTGCTCGTAAAAGAAATATTGAAATTAAGAAATGTCAGAGTTCTAACTGATTAACATTTGTAATTTTATTGTTGCATTTCTATGATTATTTGAAATTTATTAATTATGAATTCCAATTTCTGGTCTTTGTGAAATATTAGTTCTAATTACTTACTTCATGTCTTTAATTTTATATATATGTATGTATAAATAAAATATAATATATATATGTGATGTACCAGCTTTAGTCGTAGCTTAAATTATCATGCGATAAGTTAAAAAAAAAAAAAAAAAAAAAAAACCAGGAACTATTTATTATTATTCAGGAGAAATAGCAGTTACAAAATCATATATCCGGAGTAAATAAAAAGAATTACAAATAACTTTTTGTATGAACTTTACTGCATCGTGATATTTAAGAAAAAGCCCCAGATATTCCTTTGCGAATCCTTTTATAGCCTCTGGAAAGGCGGAGCTTCAAAGAAATGACGTCAGCCTCGTCAGTCAATCCCATTTGCTTTAAATATTTCCAGAACATTCTATAACTGTACGTGTAGAAAAGGCGGGAAAAACAACTTGACTACGGGGCTGTGGATTTAATTCCACGTACTTTCAAATAAAAGAACATCGTCATTAAAAATGAAAAGAACATACAGTTAGAATTACAAGTGTATTCTTGACTATGGAATTTTACTGCTACAAATATTCCCCCCAACTGAAAAGGCTTGAAGCCGGGCGCCTCGATCACAAGACATTCCAAATAGAAAAAATATTTTAAATAATTGCTTAATTTGTTTAAAGATCTCGCATCCAGAATTCGAGTTACAATAATATTAATCTTAAATAGACATTCTCACTATAACACAGTCAATAATAATATCAATATATAAATTGTAAATAATATATCTTAATATATTGACATTTATAAAAAATAAAGGAAAATAACATTATGCATGTTTTATTGGGAAAACATTTCTCGAGAACAGTTTCTTTCTGGATCCAGGTCTTTAGAGATTGCTGCAAAACATTAGAGCAGTTCGTATTTTACAAATTTTTCATTTCCAGTTCGCCGTGGCTTTAATATTAAAAATTTCTATTTGAGGTGAGATATTCCTCTATTTTTTTCTTCATATCATTGACAATTGCAATACTTGACTAATTTCTTAAGGGATCTCATACACCTTAAACCCCTCATGATCTTCGAATATGTGACTATTGCAAGATTTGGGATATTTTATTTATTTTAAAAGCAATCACTTCCAACGTTTAAAGCTGACTACATGATATAGCTGCTTTGGAAACTAGTAACCAGAAAGTTTGCGTTGCCACAAATATTTTTGTAATTTAACCCTTTTTGTGACGAAATATTTCGCCATATTTCCACCTTGCGCGCATGATATTTTAAAAATGGCTAATGGTACATACTTGAAATTTGATGGAATTCTTTATATGGGCAGTATTTTCTAACTGAGCCAACAATCTGATGAATATTTTAATACTGAAAAATTTTATGGACGAAAACATTACAATTTTTTTAATAAAATACATTTTATAAACTCAACTCAAAATAAAATAAAAATTTAACATGAAATTTTTAGAATTTTAGGTTCACGGTAGTTTCCAGATGTTATAAAAGCTATATATTAAATATGGAATTAAATTATGAAGGAGAATATTTTAAACTGTGCGCGCAAGTTGGAAATATGACGAAAAATGTTGTCACAAAGCGGAATAAATTATAAAAAATATTTGTGGCAACACAAACTTTCTGATTACTATTTCAGAAAGCAGCTATATTATGTAGTCAGCTGCAAAAGGTTGGTAGTAATTGCTTTTAAAATAAATATGTTATCCTAATTCTTGCAACAGTCACCTATTTGAACATCTTATGAGTTTTAAGGTGTGTGAGTCCCCTTAACATTTCCTTTTGATTTCTTAACTGTAAATTGTTTGCAGACTTTTCTGAGATGATAGACAATGTCGCGGCAGTGTCCACGACACAGTCGACTCATCTACAATGGGATAAAAGTCCCTTAATTCTTAGTTGTCATATTCCCGAAGAATCAGACGCCGAATTTTTGTTTTCCACATTAGAATTAGTTTCAGTTTCGTTGTTCTCGTTTCGGAATGGGCAGAGTTGAGCCCAGTGATAACAATTTGGTATCCCTTTTTTGGTACATATTCTACAAGGTGATGGAGCGATACCGTCAAAATTACTATTAGTATGGTGACTTACAACTTTCTTTCCCTTGTTAGATTTATTTCCAATTTGTTGAAAACTATGAGATTTGTAATTAGATGCATTGGGTCGATTATCAACAAACTGACGATTATTATTTCGGAAATTAGCTTGTCTGAATTGTTGACTATTCCTATCTCTGTTATAATTTTGCGAATTTTCATCTTTAAGTTCATGAATTTGTCGAAGTTTGTGGGCTTGTTCTAGCCAAGTTATCGGATCAGCGGGACTTTGAACAATCATCAAAGACTTTAAGTTCGTTGGCAAACCATCTGCAAAACTTCTAAAATAATTGATTTATCCAAATTAAGCGGTATAATTACTTCAAATTTCTTTCGAAAGTAATTTGTGATGTCTTCTCGTGCGTTATATTATAAATTAGCGAAGTCGCCGAAAGTAGTTAAGGTGGGATCGATAAAGTTTTCTTTTAATATTTGTTCAAATTCTGAGTAAGTTTTTAGCTCATGGCAATTTTTAATATAGAGCCAGAGAGTTTTTCCCTTAATGTAACGAGAAATATTTTGAAGTTTCCAATTTTCGTCCTTATTTTGGCAGACTTTGTTAAAATAACCTAACCAAGAAATTATGTCACTGTCCTTAGAATCTTCAAATGGAATAATATTTAAATCTATTGTATCTTGATTCACGTTCAGTGAATCGTCAAGATTAACGGGTTCCTGATTTGTCGACATTGTAACTGAAACTTAAAACTTTCTTGAGAATAAAAATGTGCACGTTTCTCAAAATATTTTTACAATAGTTAAAAATATTTTTTTTTAAACCAAAAACTCTTCAGATTATTATCAACATTTCATAGAATAATAGACTTAAATAAAAATTTTGTATTCTCAAATTTTATGATTATCACTACACATTTCAAGATAATATCAAATCTTACTTAGAATACTATTAATTAGAATAAGACTTGCAAATTTAAATAAACTCGTAATTACTTTAACATAATATATTTAAAACAAACTATTGTCGTAGCAACTTAGATCACACACTGAGAAAAAATAATTTCTTAAAATCTGTTCTTACTTGGCTGTTGAGTACACTATTTAATCCTGCTCGTTTGTGTGCTATTAAAAAAACACAGCATAAATGATTGAAATTCTTCAGATTCTTCCCAGCAGACGATATCCAAAGCATGCAGTTCTAACTATGAGACGCGCTCAAAATGCGACAACAAAGCTGTATCACAATTAACAATTCTTCAGTTGTTAAAAAACAGACACATTTTGCACTTAAAAAGTTCTTTCTCTTCCATTGGATCTTTGGGTACACCTATCCTGCCGACTCCTTGTGATGTACCAGCTTTAGTCGTAGCTTAAATTATCAGACGATAAGTTTTAAGAAAAAAACAGGATGCATTTATTAATATTCAGGAGAAATAGCAGTTACAAAATCAGATATCCGGAGTAAATAAAAAGAATTACTAATAACTTTTTGTATGAAGTTTACTGCACCGTGACATTTAAGAAAAAGCCCCCGACATTCCTTTGCGAGTCCTTTTATAGCCTCTGGAAAGGGCGGAGCTTCAAAGAAATGACGTCAGCCGATCCAGTTCGCTTTAAATATTTCCAGAACATTCTATAACTGTACGTGTAGAAAAGGCGGAAAAAACAACTTGACTACGGGGCTGTGGATTTAATTCCACGTACTTTCAAATAAGAGAACGTCGCCATTAAAAATGAAAAGAACATACAGTTAGAATTTTAAGTGTATTCTTGACAATAGAACTTTATTATTACATACATATATATATGTTACTGTGAAAGACCAAAATTGGAGAATGTCGACTTTCACCGGAGAATATCAACATTCACCAAATGCGTCGGTGAAAGACTGAATATTGCACTACATTCTTGTATATTCGGACCCTCACCGGTCTATGTCGATAATCACAGATATGCTCTGGTGAAAGTCGAAAAGAGAGGTCATACAGTGCCATAATAGTTTAAGTTGTTGCAATAAGTAAGATTTGAATCACATAATTTAGTAAGTTTTTTATGACTGTTATTTTATTTTCTCATTTAGAACGTACTGTATAATTAAGTAAGTTTTTAATTTCTATTATTTTCCTTTCTCATTTTGAATGTATTATGTATTTTAGGTTCTCATGTTTTCAAGTTCTTATTTCAAGTCTCAAGTGCGTTTATTCGCGACTGAATGACGGAGAAGAAAACATAATATTGTTATATATTCAACATACACCATTAGTACATGGTGAATGTCGACATTGACCGGTGTAAGTCAGAAATAAGAGTATTTGTAAAATATTTCGGACATACACCAAGAGATTTTGTGAATGTTGACATTCACCG